TGGTGGTTTTGGAGGTGGCGTGTGGCCGGAGGCCGCTGGAGACAAAGGTGGAGAGAGAGGACGAGGAGGTGCTTATCGACTGGGTAAGGGACATGTATTTGGAGGGAAAATTGGCTGAGGTGGCAGATAAGAGGATTAAAGTGGAGTATGAAGTGGAGGAGATAGTGGCTGTTTTGAAGCTTGGACTGAGCTGCTGCCACCCGGACCCAGCCCGGAGGCCGAACATGAGGGATGTGACAGCTGTGTTGTTGGGGGAGCGGGCGGAGATGGCGCCAAAGGAGATGCTGTCCGGGTTGACGCCGGTCGGGAGTGGTGAAGAAGAGAAGGTGTTCTTGGAGAAAGAGGTGTGAATATTTATTTGTTTATTGATATTATCACTATCATTATTGTTACCCTTTTTTTTTTCCTCAATTTGTTTCTTCTGGATATGAATTTGTAGTTCTGATTTGTTTGGATTTAAATGTATACGACCAGTCTTTGTTGGGGGGATTTTACCATTTTTTGTTTGTATTATGAGTCTTGCTATAGTGTAATGTGAAAATTTTGGGTTCTTTCTAATAACAAAGCGCCTGATTAGGTTTCCTCATTAAATTTTTTTGGTTGCTTTCGGAGAATTTAGTGATTCTTGAAATTGTCCCTTCCATTTATGTGATGCCCAAAAGGTAGAGAGTGGCATTTCTTCACTTCATGGGAAATGTAGCTCGTGTGACACAGATATCTGAGCATAAACTTTGCTTATACTACTAAAGTGTGAAATTTAGAGAGTGAAAATTGAAGTTTGATCTATTTCCCTTGGCATTCCTTTTTAAAGCCAGACCTCGGCTGCAGGCTGTAGCCAGAGACTCTTTCATTGATTCGGGCCCACAGACGAGCACTCCTATATCGGATCCCCCACATTCACTTGAGAAATCAAACAATATATCTGCTTAGAAAGGAGAGTACAGAATTAGTCTCTGCTGATATATTTTTTTTTTTTTATTATTATTATTTACAAAAGCACTCCTGGCTTTTAGCTTAATTGCTGAAAATCCTGCTATCAAGTCCGATTTGTATAATCTTTAATTAGGCATATTTGTAACTGTAGTTCTGAGAGAGAACTAGACTTCTGTGTGATTATGCTAGATATCAGGGTGGTTCTCGTAATTATGACAACCAAAAGTTATATAAATAGTAGAGAGAAACTAACCGCGAAAGTTTGGTCTCCCTCCGAAATGAATTTCATGTTTGTCAATATCTCCACTGCCATCAGTGGAGCTCGTTTTCTCATTCCTTTGTGTATCGTAAAAAACTTGAAGCGCCTTCTTTACCTTTTTCCACCTAATCATAGCAGCCAAGAAAGCGGCGATTGTCATAGCCATAGCAAAAGAACACATGAGAAGGAGATCAACTTGTGTAGACGTGTAATTTTGCCCCGAGGTTCTCTTGTTCGGACGAATGACAAAACGATTGAAGAAAACAAGGGAGATGACAAATATGATTGAGCAAACCATTGTGATCATTGCCATGAATGCTAATCTTTCGGGTCCATTCGTTGCGTAACTAAAGCTTTTAGTACTAAAATTTATCGTTCGAGTTGGACGGGTATCATTGAGCACTTCTCTTAGCGTCGTGAAAATTTGGTTCTCTCTAGTTACGTACATTTTGAGATTTGTGTGGTATTTTCCTACGTTTAGAAGATGAGGAAGAATTGGTTCTAGCAGGCAGATGTCTTGCGATTTCTTTGTGGTGTATATGAGTTGTAGTTTACTTGGATACTCATTTTTGCTAAAGTTGGAGCTTATTTCCTTCATGATGCTCAGAAATGGTGTTATCCCAATGCCTCCAGCAACCATGAGTAGATTGTCATGCCTGCATCAGGTTTGTTTTCTTACTTCTGAGATCTTCAAGAATATGTTTTTTTTTTACCAAATTTTGTGGAAGGCTTTAGATTACCTTAAAAATTCAAATGAATCGGGCCCGTATGGACCTTCAATTGCAACTGGAATACACATCCTTTGATCTGCTTCTGAATCTTGATCATCACCAATAATTTGGTCATGCAGTGAGTTGGTCCATTGGCCTCCACTCTTTATGATGACTGTGATTGTGTTATGATCTGTGTTTGAGCTTGAGGTTATGCTGAATGGATGCCATTGAAGCTTGGAAATGCTTGGTATCTTCAAGAAGATCAAACTTGTTGGTCTGTATTTCAAATCTGGAAAACCGTGGCTTACTTTATATCTACATAAAATCGATATTTCCATTTTGTCTAATCGGCAACAATAATATAAAGGATGAGAAACTTAACTTGGATCCTTTGGCAACCTCAGCTCAACAGCTCCACATGGGAAAACACGAGCTGATAGAATGCATGTTTTTGGCCTTGACTGCAGAATTCGGAGGAGCTTGTCGAGTGAAAAGAGAAAAACTCCAGGAAAAACCGTGTAAAAATGGCGGTCACCTCCATGGAACAAGAAGAATACCAGGAAAACTATGTAAAGATGGTGCGTGTAGTAAAAGAGTCGAAAGCATCTTCTCCTAATCTGTGGTAAGGCCGTGATCCAAATGACTAGTGCTGTAATAAGAGCCATTTCGCCTGCAAGGTATATTCGACCTTTTTTCTGCCATCTCCACATCTGTGTTTTTTTTCAACATCAAATTGAATAAAAAGAAAAAAAAAAACTGTTGCTGTTTTATTTGTGAGAAAATGCTCTTAGTGAGCTGACATGTTGATTGAAATAGAAGTTCATTAAAAGTTACCTCATCGTGAATTCGACGTTTTAGTCCCCAGATAAAGAACGTGCCTGCACCATGTAGAGTGGCGAAAAATATCATTGCATTTCCAAGCCAAATGTGGTATCTCACTGAAGCTTCAAATTGGATCCCAATTAATCTTAAAACGGACAACCCTCTTAAGACGGGCAAAAGAAGCAGAGCTAGACAAGCTTCTGACAACAAGCCACACCTTGTAGCGATCCTCACCAGCTTGTATTGCCATCTGCAACATATAATTTACTGCTAATTATAAAAACCACCACACAAGTTTAGCTTAGTTGCAGAAAAACCCCACTTGAAGGAGGCATTTATAATATTGAAATAAAAAACTAAAAAGAAGCAAACTTTATACTTACAGGCTCAATTTGAATGATTTGATTGGTGTCATCTTCTTGAAGTCGTTAGAAACACGGACATAAAAGGTCCAAACGAGCAGGGCCACGAAAAGAGACGAAGCAAGAATCTGTGCTCCAGACAAAAGGCCAATGTACTGATTCACAAGTAGTGGGCTAGAGAGAGAGGTGAATACATTTCTTGATCTTTGCCTGAAATAAAAGTGTAAGAAATTGCCGAGTTTTATAATTTACATGGATCAAAAGGGATGATTTGTGTTACTTGTCGTCTTATAAAATTCTTTACCTGGTTCTTGGTTTTATTGATTTAAGGTCCGAGTATATGAAGGCGATTATAGCCAAGGCAATCACAGGAAAGGCGTATACAGCAAAATCTAGACCTGTTGCAACAGTATCAGAACTGTAAGTAACAGAATTTTTTGGAACCTTCTTGCAAAACATAGTATGTTTAGGAGTAGTAATTACAGAAGCACCCTTCTGATATCTTTATAATATTACAAATACCCCCCTGAAGTTCTAGATGGACTTTATTTAGCAAGTAACCTTCAGGATGTGTCCAATATGTAAAAATACAAGGACTTATTTTGAATATTGAAAAATAAGGTCTCTTTGAATTTAAGCTAAAAATGAAGGTTAGTTTTTGTGATCAATAATTGTACTCGGGGAAGAATACCAAACCTTCTGCTTGTATATATAGAAAACATTGAAATTGTTAATCATCTCATCGTTTCAATTTTTCATCAAACTTCTTATTAATGCTATAAAAAAACGAAACTTATTAAGAATACTTATACACTAATTATTAGTTAAGGTATCAAATTATTACCGTTATAGCCGAATACGGAAGACGATGCCTTTTCCTCTGCTTCCTTCCATTTCTTTGTCCAGATTTCAGTTGGTTTTAGAACCCAAATGGAAACCCAACCAGAAAATATCAAAATCAGAACTAACTTGAGCATTGAAAGGAAAACCATAGTCTTTTTTTTTTATCAGTTTTCCAGAAGGCTCATTTAAAGTCTCCACATATACTGAGAACAACAAAAGGTGTCTTTATATAGTGCTCATATAAGAAATCCAAGTTGCAACAAATTCACTTGATTGATCATATACCCACCATTGTGCAGAGGTTTTACTGTTATTCAGTTTCTTTCACAAAACATCTTGAAATGCCACCGAGTTTGATGGGATGTATGTGCTGTGTATTATCATGATTTCAGTTAGTTTCATTAGTGAAATTATGTTAGTTTTGAATTAAGGCCTCATGAGAGTTGAGATGCTAGATAATGAATGCACTATTGCTGCACTTTATGACCTAAGCAATGTATGATAACTTGTTATTTAATTAATTAATTTGTTTTTTGTTGTGTGCAACTTTAGATATTATATATGTTCATGAGCTTGAATTAGCATAGGTTGAGATAATTGACCCAACAGTATGTAGTGGGTTTTGGTCCACCATCCCACTAGCCACTTTTACTAAACCCATGACTACTGATCTTTGTTCATTTTTTTTTTAGGCAAAATTGCTCTTAATATCATGACCTTTTTCGAAATTGCAATTTAATCACGATTTTTTTCAATTTTGTGAATCATATCACAATCTTCAGTTTGTTGCAAATTGGAGCACTGATTTGCATGTCCCGTGCAAACTATATCACAATCTTCAGTTTGTTGTGCGACCACAAGCTTTTGTATGACTGTTTGCAGACTGTTTGCAACAAACTAAAGATTGTGATATAATTTGCAAAATTAAAAAAGTCGTAATTAAATTGCAATTTCGATAAAGGTCGTGATATTAGGGGCAAATTTGCCTTTTTTTTTAATTTTTTTTTTTAATTTTTTTAAATTCCTTGTGGGAAAAAAAAAAGAAAAAATATTAAAGCTTTGAACTTTCATCACTAGAAAGACACAAGAATTTGGATAAGGATTTATACAAGATGTGATCTTGAATTATCTGAATAGACCTAAAGTTTTCAGGCTTTTTAGACGCACTTTTTTCTGCAAATTGATAGAAAAAAGTCATTGTAGATCATTGCTAGTAAGTATAGTAGAAAAGGTTAAAACAAAACAAAAATAAAGAGAGAAAAAGTGCATGAAACTCTGCTTTCCAAGGTTAAACTAGGCAGGGCCATGAAGAAATAGTACAGTAGTGAGGATGATTGTCAAAAGAAAAAAGCCAAAGGATTCACACATCCTTTTTCCACACATTATTTAATGAGTGTAAGGAATTTAATAAGATGGGCTGTTAAACTAACAAGAAAGTGACCATACTTTCTTCAGGCTTTGAAGCTAAAATATATCAATTTATTCAAATAGTATGACTGATCGAAGTTAATCCGTTTAGCTATATTTGTCTGTCAACCCGTGTGATGTTGATCTCTGTATAATCGGACTTGGTCAATGATCATAACACGGGTCGATAAACGTAGAAGACAAATGTGCTTCTGATGAAAGGAAGTTAGATTCTAAAACTGAATATCAAATCTTGAAACCGTCAAAACAGTGTCTTAGATGTGTATATAAGACCCCAAATGGGCCAAATTCTTAAACAAAATATGAAATAAAACAGTACAACAACAACAACAGCAACAACAACAACAACATACCCAGTATATTTCTAATTGGTTGGGGTCTGGGGGTCAGTTGTACGCACACCTTACCCTTGTAATTATACAAGGAGGCTGTTTCCGTAGCGACCCAAGGTGCATTGTGTCGTTTGATATATTTTTTTTCTACAAACTTCACTAATAGAAGAAGCACTAGAATTTAATTGAGCCATTTTGATCTTGTCCATTATTAGCACTATGAAATAAAACAGTAAATAATAAAAATTATATGAAGGCTAACATGAGCAGCCCAAGACTCATCTTTGACATGTTCCACATCAGATCAGCAACAGTAAGTTTGAATGGAAAGTTGATCTTGATTTGATCCCTTGATCACCATTCACCACTAGTGATCTTTTTTTGACTTAATTGCTTGTGTCAATTCAGGATTAACAATCAGAAAACCTTTCAATAAGTGGCTCTGGTGAGTAATGAGTGATGAGGACCATCACAGGCTTTTTTTTTTTTTTTTTT